TCTTATCTATACATATAATAAAACTGTAAATAGCAGATGTCTGTACATTTTATATTTTTGTAATAAAAGTGATTGAGGGGTACTAAAAATAAGTAATTAAATACAATTCTACCATTTTTAGAATTTTCTGTCTGTCTGTTTGTTTGTTAACGTATCACGTATAAAGTACTAATTTATATCATAAGAATTGTTAAGGAAATTATAAAGTGTATCTTCGGGTTACATTTAGTCTTTATATCATTAAAATCAGTTCATTCCATCAAAAGTTATGATAAATATTCTGAAGTATGGGTAGGGAAGTATAGGTACGAATTTGCTCAACGGTGGCTTTGTTTGAGTCATCAAGTGCATTTTAAAGTAATATCATATCATAAATCATAGTTAAATTATGTAAAATAATGATATAATTATGTATATCTAAAACGCAGTAAACAAAAGTATTAAAGAACGTATTAAATATATTATACAAAAATATATTAACCTTATTAACTAAATCTGAAGCACAATAGTTAACCCATTTCTTCGATAGATGGTGGTGTTGTGAAAATGTAATGCAATCGCAATGTGGTTTTGTTCCTGTAGATGAGTTTTCATATTTACTGCTAATCTTTATTATATTACTCGCTGCCCTACTGCGTGTTGAAAAACTCAATTTATTCTTTACCGCCGAGTACTCTATGTGGTAAATCAAATTTTAAAAGAGCTATTAACAATTGCGTTGGTTTTGGCGAGAGTCAAACTTTATTTTTTGCTTACTGTGCAGGCACTGATTTATAAGTTCTCTTGCGTTTTATATAATGTATCAATCGTGTCAATTAATCTCTTTTATTTTTAGAATTGATGTTAGCAGCGCCATCTCTCTTTAAATATATACATATAATAAAAATGATGATAACATGTGTCTCTTTCTGTACATTGTATATATATTTTGGTGGCTAAAATCATTATGGGGAACTGAAAATAATTAAATAAGAACATTTTATAATTTTTAGAATTGTCTGTCTGTCTATTTGTCTGTTATTATATGAACGCATCACGTCTAAAGTAAACATCTTTTATTTTCAAAGAAATCGTTAAGAAAATCATAAAGCGTATCTTCGAGTTACATTTAATCTTTGTTTTATTAAAATTGGTTAATTCTATCGAAAGTAATGATTATTATTTTGAAATGTAGGTTCGAATTTGTTCAATGGCGCCATAAAATCTCAGAAATAGTAATAAAAAGATTTGTGTGTAAAAAAAAACGTTCCATAATAATTAATATACTTAAAACACAAAAAGAGATTTAAAAAGGATGTTTTCTCACACAAAGGACGCAATAGATGGAGTTGTACAAATTACAAACTTTTCTGAATTGCTGTGTTGAGATTTTTCGCCGATGAATCGTATTGAGACTTACTGAAGAAATTTGTATCCACCGAAGCCATACAACGGAACCCGACCAAAAATAAAAATTTTGCAACGAAATGTCGTGATATTGTATTTATAATATACGCAAAATCAGTACTGCCATTTTAGCGCTTTGGGAACTAGATTTAGCGCTTTTTTGGAATGTATAGCGCGCATTTCGAAATTTTAGCACCTAGCTTAATCCAGCGCTTTTTGGTGTAATTAGCACACATTTCAATATTTTAGCGACTAGCGGGTTATTAACTCTTTTATAGCAGCACTGTTAGTCTACATTACCGATAATAATAATAATGACCTTTATTATTTTTTCCCACAAATAGTACATTGGAGTTTATCTTTTTCAAACATATTTTTTCCACAAAACAAAGAGCATGGGAGACGAGTCCAAACTAGGATACCCTGTGCTATGGATCTCCTGGCTTCCCCTTTAGGATGATCAACTTGATTTTTTTACCGACGACTATAAACGGGGAAATCCCCTTTATTAAAGTTTTCGTTCATGGTTTTGGCAACGCATTTATTTTGCTTTATTCAGTTTCAGTCAGTTGCTTAGAGCACAGCTAAGTTAAAAGTTACTTAGAAGTTATAACACAAAGAAACTGTGTAGCAACCGCAATCAGATGCTGACATCTGAAACTAAGTTGCGAAATACATTGCACTTTAAAACAATTAATGACATTTTTATTGTTCGTACAGTACTAACTACTGTTGACAGCAATTGCCATAATTATAAGTCGATGTCCTGCGAAGTATTGATACATCAAAAAAATATTGCCAGAAAAAAAAACTTAATGTTGTTTTCTTTATTATGATTATATAAAAATACACAAACTTTGTTTGTAGTTAATTTAGCGCGAAATCTAGGGCTTTTTTAAAGCGCTGTTTTCATGAAATCTAGCGCTTTTTGTGTTGTCCTAGAGCTGAATGAGTTTTTTTTTATCTGGCAGCACTGCCCAAAAACCCTCTATTAAGAAGTAACTTTCCTTTCAGTTTTAAGCGCATTCAGTTCCCAGTTACAGTGAGCGTGTGTTATGCGATGACCGTAAATAAAGCGCAAGGTCAAACTTTACGCGTTGTAGGAGTGTAGCTCAGTACTGACTGTTTTGCACATGGCCAACTCTATGTTGCTTTTTCCCGCGTTAGTAGCCCCTGTAACCTTTTTGTGTACACCCCGGTTAAGCTTACTTCTAACGTCGTTTACACAGAAGCTCTATCATAAACGACTTAGAACTTTGATGATAATGATTTATTTAGTTACCACTTATTGATACAGTAATGAAATAAATCGTTTAATATTCTCTTACCTAAACGACAAATTCTTTATGTAAAACCTGTATACGCGAGCTACGCCGCGGGCACAGCTAGTATTTTAATAATTGTCGACTTTATTCGAAAATTAAAGAAGTGTCATCTGCAAATAATACTATATCATACTGTTAATGACAACTTTTTGCGTTCTCTTACTTAAATATGAAATAATTAATTTAAGAGCATCACTTCTTACACCGTAGTGTTGAAGTTTTGTAGGGACGCCTACAAAACTTCAACACTACGGTGTAGGAAGTACGGTAAGCTAGAGCTTCTTCAGGTGATGAAAATCTCTGTCCACGCAATTTATTCTTTATTTTAGGGAAAGTATAGAAATCATTAGGGCTTAGGTCAGGGCTGTACGGCGGATGGTCTAATAATTCTATGGGTTCTTGCTCTAAAAACTCTTTTAATCTATGTGCGGTGTGAGAACTCGCATTGTCGTGATGGAGGATGATGCGGCGGTTGCAGTTCTCTTTACGGAATTCAGAAACGACCTGTGGCAAACAAATGCTAGCATACCATTCTGCATTAGCCGTTCTTTGTCCCTCAAGAGGAATAGTCGTAACTCGACAGGATTTAGTACATTACTACATGCCTCAAATATTTAAAGATGAAAGTAGCAAAACGAGGATTATTATTGATGCAACAGAAGTGCCTATTGCTAAACCTAGCAATCCTATATCCCAGAGAGCCACTTACAGCAGTTATAAAAATACCAACACCATAAAGTTTTTGGTGGGCTCTACACCAGGCGGTCTCCTGTCTTATTGTTCTGAAGGTTATGGAGGAGCAACCAGTGACCGGCAAATGATTGAACGTAGCTCATTGTTACATTTGTGTGATGAAGGAGACAGTATAATGGCAGATAGAGGGTTCAATGTGCAAGACTTGTTTGCTCAAAAAATATTGCAGTCAACATACCTACTTTCTTGAGAGGTGAATCACAGTTACCAGTTGCTCAAATGATCAAAGACTTGCAAGTCAAAGGGTACACATAGAAAGGCTTATAGGCCTTACAAAAACCTATAAAATACTTCAGACACCACTTGTCTCATTCTATGTTCCTTTGGCCTCAAAAATATTTTTCATTTGTTTTATGTTGTGTAATTTTAAGGAAAATATTGTAAATAAAAAGACAAAGAAGTAGTCACTCTTTTTGTTTATTCCTTGATAGTTAAATTATCAATACAGTCGGAAACTATTGTGCAGAGATGTATGTAGAAAGTGAAGACAGGTTTGGTCAGTGCTCAAGAACCACCATTATACATTATACCATATAAATAGGACAATCTTTATTATAGTTCTGATAAATATGTACAAATAAGAAATAAAACATTGGAAATGGTTATGATGTTTTACTATTATCAAAAACTTCACCCTCTTTCTTTTAACAAGTTACTATTAATTTATTTTACTAAAAATCATTTAGTGTATAAAAATGTACAATAAATAGAAAGAATAGAATAGCATATTATTTATATATTTCTTATTGAAAGCCAATTTTTAACTTTCATTCATTACATACTTTTTCTACTTACAATTATTAAACTTAACACTTATTTAAAAATAAAAGATTGAATATAAAAAAGTTATCACATTCAATTTTGTTTTTTTATTAAATCATAGTTATTGTACAAATAGTTATTTAAAATTATGCCTTTAAAAAAATTATTATAAAAATCATCCTATTTTTCTAACATCTCTGAAATAAAATGATCATCTCTTGTGATATAAACAACTTTCATGTCTTTATATGTATAAATTATTAAATTGCAGTATATCCTATTTGTACAATACAACTGGCCCTGGATTTGATAATATATTGGACTAGTTTTTTTTTAATAGCAGCTTTTTATTGAAAGAGTCATTACCAGATAGGGCATATATTTGCTGCAGTTATGATATTGTTTGTCGTGGAATATGGACATTTTATTTCAATGATGGTGTCATCTCCCAGTAGACCATCCGGTGTAGCACCTAAATATGGTCTCTGCTTGCTAACAAATAACCCACAAAATTCAATATTTAATTCGTACTGAGACTGATACTCCTTTAGAGCTATTGGTTCATTCAAGATGCCATGTGTTGTTGGCCTAGATGAAAAGGGTTTTTTACTAAAAAGTTGTTTGCTGTAGCTAAGTTTTGAAGAGGCTTTAAGATGACAAACTGTATGAAAATTGCTGGCAGTTACTGCTGTTTTCTTTCTTCGTACCACATTGAATTGCTTTTTTGTCCTCTTGTTATTCTCTCAATATTTTTTATAGATTCTTCATTAACATTTAATAGCATAAAATTTTATCTTCAGGGTTGGAAGATGTGTAGGCATGATCTGCTATAATGGCATAGGGATTTGCTGGTTCATATAAATGTTTAAGAGGCATTGTAGAATTTGGATAATTTAAAATTAAATTATGAATTTTATTGTTGTAGCTCTCTTTGTCAATCGTGTGAATAGGGTACGGACTAAATCTTTTACTATTCTTTTTCTTAGGCAACTTGTGTGCAGCTATAGGAGAGGCTGTAAATGGAGTTTTGGGCACATGAAATGTCTGCAACCTTTGTGTGCTAACTTGATGCAGTAATATAATTTTGTGACACACCATGTGTTCAATTCCAGTTAAAAGCACAGCAACATGCTTGCACTTTGCCTCTATGCCACTTCCAGCTGGACATTCGCAGTGGGATTCCTGAGGTGTTCCATTTTTATGAATTTTAACATCTACTTCATACTGTAAAGCTTTCATGGTCTTTTTACAATAGCCTTTCACAAAAGTAGAGTCACCAACAGTAGTAGCTCTTGCAAGTATGAGGTATCAAGACTCATATAAGGATTTAGCCTTATCAAGTTTATTATCAACACTGTAACAAATAAAATATTAATATATATATTTGCATCTCAAACCTACAATCATTTTATTATAGTGACTAACAACCTATATATATAACCAACTTCAATGATTTGAACTCTATTATATCATGACAACTTAACTGCCCAAACTCACTCTCTGTTCTACCCAAGGTTAGCTGGTAGAGAATGCCATATAGCATTAAGCTCGCCTTTTGTACAAATATTTGGTGCAATAAAGAATAAATTAAACTTCAAACAATGATAATCAGAAAAAAATATTTACTTATTATATTAGGTATTTTGTGTAATTTTATATCATTATTATGAAGAACAAACTTACCAGCAAAAATAATGTCTTATATGCATTTTTGTTAGAGGTGGTAACAAAGTACAGCTATTTATATCTCGATATGTGTTGGACTTTGGAAGATTCATTGTAAGATCATCTTCATCCTGATTCTCGGAGTTACCAAAATTAAAATTTTGATCATATAACTCTAATCTTTAAACGTCAGTATTATGCCTTGTGTAGTAACGCGTAAATAAAACGAATCTTTAAGATAAGATCCATAGAATTATTACGCATAGAAACGCAGTCCAGCACAAAACACGAGCGTTAAAATGATGCAAAGTCATAATGTTAGTGGGCGCGAGTCGAATGTGCCTACGCTCGTCACACGCACACATACACGCCATTCAGTGATACCAGCTTCTGGCGTTTGCAATAAAATTGTGCAAATCACTATCTTTTGATTAATTTAAAAAAATCGATGTAATAAAGATTACGTATTACGTACGAACATATATTTTATGAGAATATAAAATGGAATAAAATAAACACGATAATGATGGTACTAATATAACTTAATAATACATATTTTAATGGTACAAAAATACAGACGTAATAAAATTTAAGAATATTATTAAACACAATTAATTTGCTCGAATACAATAAGCACATCGTGTAATATTTAATTTTAACCGACTTCAAAACAGGAGGAGGTTTTCAATTCGGTGTATTTTTTAATATGTTTTTTACCTCAGCATTCTACAATTTCTAAACCGATTTAGATTATTTTATTTGAAAGGATATACACACAGATTGATCCAATATACACGCTGAAATTTTAATGGTTGTTTTCCCGATGTCAAATTATTTTGTCTTGGTAGTAATTATTTTATTAAAATTAGGATGCAAAAATGGCAGATTTACAATCGAAAAAACAAAACTCGAATGCGATCTCAAAACAATAGCAATATCTCGCAAGTAGGTCAGGCGTGCAGGCTAGCTTATACCGTATTACTATAATAAAGTCTGAAAAAAAAATTCGCTGGATGTAACTTAGTGTTACGTCTATCGCACGCGCTACCGCGCGCTGCCTACACAGTAAAGAGCCACTAATAAATGTTCAGAACATGAACTCTCAAGCGTAGTGATACGACATAAACTAGTAAATATAGAATTGTCTTAGAAATCAGTGTACATACATATTGATAACCTCTCCTTTTTGGGAGTCGGTTAAAATAGACTATGTTTGGGTCTAAAATAACATCTGGTTAATGTTTGGGTGTAAAGTGACATCTGATTAGTTAAGGCGTCTTTCTTATTAATAATATCTTGATGTTGTAAATAGAAAAGTTTTTATTCTATACTCTAAAACGTAGACTTGTCAATAAACAAAGCAATTAAAATAGTTGCGTTAAAATGGCGTCGGCGAATCGCGATTAGCTGATCACTCCTTATTAGTATTATATAGGTATTTTAAATAGGCACCCATTGTTAATATTATGTTAATACTTAGAGAAGTAGGTATCTATATATAAACATTTGAGTTTTACAGAGAGCTTTGCGATTAAACGTTTTAAACACAAATAGAAAATAAATATTTTTAAAAGAAAATTGTGATTTTTCCCCACAACTAGCAACATTTGCATTAGGATAGCTTATGTAAGCATTTTTTTAGTTTTACGTAGTTATAATGAATTAAATATATAAACTTGTATGTGAAATGCAGTACCATCACTTCTTTTATGTTTATCATTACTGTTGTGACAATCTTCTACAACAAAAACGGTCATTTTTACAATTTTTCGCGAGCTCTTCTCCGTAAGACATGACGTTGCGCACTGACGCGTCGCTGAGTGAACTAACGCGGTTTCGCGTTAGTTTAACTTGCTTCACTTTCCGTGCGCGTACTAGTATTCTATGCGTAATAATTCTATGATAAGATCATACTTCTTTTTAAAGAGGTAAATAGTATAAATTCCGATAAAACGTGTTAAAGTAAAGTAAATAATTATGTTATGCGTTCAAAGATATTTTAAAAATGAAGATATTATATATTTACCTTTCCACTATATCTGCTTTCCTTCCTCGTAAGTCTTTACGCCTCGCTTCTTTAGTTCAGCTTTTAATTCAGATACCCGCCATGTTGAATACATAATGTTCGTAATTTGTATGTTATAATTATAAACCTTTATTGAACTTAGTAATATAAATAAACACAAATCAAGCACGCGACTTTGACATTGACAGGTGAAAGCTATGCTGGTGCCCTCTAGGAAAAGTTATTACCGGCCAACCCCATTGTCTTACCCCTAGGGATGCAACATCGTTCTGGAAAACATCGATATTTTAAATCATCGATGTTTGCATGAAAAACATCGATGTGCAAAAATATCGTTGATATGGGCGACACATTTTATTACACAAACGTTATTTATTTTGAATAAAATATAACAACCCTAAGACAGAGTTAAAGAAAACAAACTTAAACATGATGTTATGACAGCTGCTTCAGCAGCAGAATTATCTTTGTCTTTTGTCATTTTAACATTTTATTACATTACATTGTTTATTTAGAAATTAATAGTCTTGACACAGAGTTAAGGAAAAGAAGCTTAGATAATCTAGACCCTAACAGTCTATTTATTTGTTGAGTAATGGTTGCTCCAGCTTCCGAGAACAACCGCTCACTTGGAAAAGACGTGGCAACAATTGGAAGGTATATCATTGCGACTTTTGTAAGTTTTGGAAAAAGAGATTTCATATCTTCCCAAATTTCAATGGCATCTCTCTTTATTGGTGTTACAGGAGATGAAAGATACATCTGGACCTCGGTTTCGCTGATGGAGCCTGAAAGTGGCATAGCTGTAGCAGATGATTTATTTTTCATGTTTTTATGTGTCAGCTGCTTATGGTATTTCAAAATGTCAAATTCAGAATTCATCAGAGGTGTCACTTCTTGTTGCAGTTGCAGCTCCAGGCGAGCTGTTATATTCCCGTACAAATTTATTTAAGTAACTAATACTTTACTTTTGGCCACTGGATCTTTAAAATGCATAAACTTGAATCTGGGGTCAAGAGTAGTTGAGATTGCTAGGATTGAGGAATGCTCTAGGGTATCAAATTTTCTAGCTAGTTGTTTCTTTAATTCCTCTTTAAATTGAAGTATTATTTCATTTTTTGGTTTTATGTTCTCTAGTACTTCACGGACACAGCTAACTAGCGGAATCACTTTGCTTACCGTTACGTAACTATCTCCAGAAAACTCTTTTGTCAATTTCTCAAACGGGCATAGTAATTCTATCATTTCTTTCATGCAATCGAGTTCACTGCTTGAAACCATTGGTGGAGCTTCAGGTCGAGTCAAAAGTAATGATCTTACAATGGACACCGATTTCATGAACCGTTGAAACATATAAAAACAAGAGTTCCATCTTGTGCGAACATCGAGTATCTTTTTTTTAATTGACCTTCTTTTAGTCCCATCTCTAACTGTCTCTTCCGTAATTCGTCACTTGCATTGACGCTTCTTTTTATAAACTTAACTATATCCCTAACTTTGGTTATTAACTCAGTACAATTGTTTGAATCATCAATGGATTTTGTTATGACTAAATTAATTGTATGAGCAAAACAGGGAATGATTTTTTTTTCTCCAAACATTTCCCGATTGGCCTTCATAACAGTGCTATTATTGTCTGTAATAATAGCTGAAACTTTTTCAATGGAAACATTCCACTCGGTGAAAATATCGGTAAGTTTCTGAATAATGTAAAGCGACGCATGGCTTTCGGTCAACTCAAAAACACCTAAAGTTCCACTGAGAAGTCGAGACTTACACTTATCCAAAAAGTGAATAGTGACACCTATAAATGATTCCTTTTGCATGGTTTCGGTCCAAATGTCGTATGTGATGCAATAGCTTTCAGCATTTTTATGTACATCTTAAAAAGATGACTCAATGCCTCATATTTTTCATCTATTCTCGTTTTAATTGTCTCTCGACTCGGCACGTTATACAGTGGACACACTTCTTTCATCAGTTGTCGAAAACCTTTACCTTCAACAGTCGAAAATGGTTTATTATCCATGATTATGAAATTCGTAATGGCCTCAGTATTATTTTCTTTGATTTTGCACCATCTTTTGTAGTTATACTCTTAATGTTGTTTATAAAATTATCTACGTTTAGCTGAGCAGTTTTTTCAGAATCAATAACAATGTCTGACGATGTACTAGCAACAGTAGCAATTGACTTTTGAGATGAAGGTAATAACTACTAAACTAAACTAAACTACTAAATACTAAATCTTTAACACTGCTTGAACTGGTCGATGGTTGGTTAACGTCGACGTCGATGTTTGATTGTAATGAAAGGTCAACATTATTACTACTCGTACTTGCAGTTGCTTCACGTGTAACTAGTAATGTTACCGACCTTTTTTTTCTTGCTGGGTACATCAATATCTTCCAATTGCTGGGAATGTACATTTTCGAAATGACCTCGAAGATTTGTCGTATTCCCAGAAGTTTTAAGACTCTTGTTGCAAATAGCCTCTTTGTCTCCAATTTTCTTAAAGTAGTTCCAAATTTTACTTTTTATTTTATTGGAAGGCATAGTTAATTGGTTATCTGTAAACAAACAAAAACAATGTTTATTTTTACAAGTAATTAATAAATAGATTTTATTTTTATGTCATACATGTGCAGTCGGGTAAAAAAAATTATACTGTCGGTCTATTCGGTATAAGTCTGTTTGATGCTCGCTTAAGCGTTAATAAAAATAAGAATTACATGAACATGATGGTAAATTAAATTTATTATTTTCATCATTAAATTAGGCAAATAAAAAAAATATCAACTGTAATTTCACAAGCTGCTTTACATATCAAACTATGGGTTTATGTTAATTTCTTTTAACCTGAAATGACACGCTCACTTTGCACGTGCACAAACCTAATGAAAAAACAAACTAACATAACCTAACTAAATTATAAATTAATTTAACGAGTACATTACTTACCCAATCAAGAAATCCAAAATGTGTATAGGTGTCGTTGGGTACTCAAATAATCGAATCGTATTATATTGAATCAAATTCATCCAAAACGTGTCAACACAAAGCAATGCGATGTGAGCGAACGTCACAGTGATTCCGAGAACCCGAACACACTGAAGAACGATGTCGATGTTTGTGAATGTAGCAAACGATATATCGCTCTTATAACATCGATGTTTATGACCGATACCTCGATGTTTTACAAACCTAGATGTATCGTTTGCATCCCTACTTAGTACTTACTGCCTGCCTATTGCATTTTAATATTTTTGGAAAACTCAGATTTATTGATAAAAAAGTGAATTCAATTTCATTAAAGCTATAGGAAACAGGAATGGCCTTTAGTGAAGTTTGTAGAATTTGTTTATGCGTTAATGTTCGCATGCTTGTACTAAAGAAGACTAGTCTCCGAAATTTGTACAAAACATTAACGAACAGTTTTGTAAGTTTCTTAAATAATAAATTTTTTTTAATAGTTAATATAATTTAATGGGGGTTAAAGTATATGTAATAGAAAAAATAATAAATATTTATAGAAAATTAGTATTGTAAAAGAAATTTGAAATATATTGATATTTCTTTTAATTATGCAAATTGAAGTTGCGGTAATTTGTTGTTATCGCCGGAGAAATATATTATAACTTGCCTGATATAAAATGCGATAGATCGGGGCTAGGCTAAGGTGCAGCGTTAAATATATTGCAACCAGAACCTGAAAATCAACAATTAGCCTGAAATCTTACTACATACTAGAAGAGACTTGGTTGTTTGCAACAAGCGATGGAGCCAGCGGGCTTAACTGTTTCTGTTTCTTCCACGCGACCCGCACTGCTGCATAGAATTTTTCGCGGTGTCTGTTCTAGTACATACCTATTACCGAGTATTACTTCGATTTTATGTCAAGAAATTAACATTCACCCTGGTTTGGTCTTCCACTCACTAAAAGCCATTCTATCAGACTATTAAAGTGGCAGATTAGAGTGCACATGTGCTTACAGACAAAAAAATTCCCTCACTCTCATATTTCTCGTATTCCTAAAGACAAGTCTGAGAAGGGAATAATGTGCACATGTGCTTGCTTACACACACTTGCAATATAATCCTGCCCTGCGCTAATAAATAGTCTCTATTGTGATCGAAATTCTGTCCGTAGGACATTATTATTGTCATGCTGCAGCTATATATATATATATATATATATATATATATATATATATATATATATATATGTGTCACAGGTAGGTCGGCTGTACTGGGGTTGTACCATGGACTTAACAGAATACCAGTATAAAATAGCAGCTTAATTCTGCTCTGATTTGTATGGTGAGTGTAGAGAATGTTGTATGTAGTGTAGAGTGTGTGGTGTTCCATCTTGGTCCTCAGAGGTGACAGCACATCTTTATTTCGATCATTATTTGGGGATAAATTGTAGATGTCTACAGGCATTCACTTACCATCAGGTGGACTGTGTGGTCAGATGTTACCTTTATTGTATAAAAACAAATTTTGCAGGACGGCAGTTGAAACAACTGATATAAGCCTGTATCCTGGTTTCATATCTATAGTTGTTCTATTTTATTTGTTTATCCAATATGTTATTAAATTGGTTTATGGTTTGGGTACGACTTTCCATTGACTCCCATAGAGTTGGGGGTTGATACGTATTTTTACAGAAAAGTTACACTATTATAAGCACACATACAAAGTTACAATATGCGGAAGAGTGTAATTTTTGAGAAAAAAGTTATTGAAAATCAATTATTCTTGCATTGTTTATGTCTAATCCTACAATAAAACTGACGCCATTTTTTTTATTGTTATTGTCAGTAGGGATGTCGATTCTTTCCGAAAAATAACGATTTTTTAAATAGATTCGAATTGTAAGCTGATGTATCGATTCCCAAAAAATCGATTTCTAAAATATCTATATTTTTTTCATGTTTACATTTATAATGTAAATATAAATCCATTTTATGAGAAAAAAGTCCCCTTCATCATAAAATATAGGCGGACTGATTCAGAAGGATTTCTGTATCTATTTTGAGACTGCTACGTCTCCGGCGCTGAGGGAAGAGCAGCCTCTACGCCTTAGCGTAACAAATCGTTACAGCAGGCGGACGCTGCTCCCCCTACGCGCCTCCGGCTCTTAAAAACCACTCTAGGGGTAGGACAGACTAGTACCAGGTGGAGTTGGGGTCAATCAATTCGGTTCTTTGACATAAGTTGAACCTAACCTATTTTATTTGTTATCTGCCCTAATTGGTACTGTTAAAATAAAACAAAATTCAATAAGAGATCATTTATTATGGTATCTTTCTTGTTTTTCATAAAATGGAATTATATTTACATTATAAATGCAAACATTAAAAAATATAGATATTTTAGAAATCGATTTTTTATGAATCGATACATCAGCTTACGATTTGAATCGATTTAAAAATCGACCTTTTTCGGAAAGAATTGACATTCCTACTGACGACAATAACATTACAAAATGGCGTCAGTTTTATGGTAGGATTAGATTTTTTTTTTTATAGGATTGGGTGACAAACGAGCACACAGTCCACCTGATGGTAAGTGGTTACTGTGACCCATAGACATCTACATCTATCCTCAATAAAGACTCAAAATGCAGATGCATTGTCACCCGTGAGGACTAAGATGGACTGCCTCTTTTCCAGTAAAAAGGGTCTCCGGTTCTCTACACTCACCATACGAAACACAGCAGCATTAAGCTGCTATTTTACGCTGGTATTCTGTGAGAGCGTGGTCCTTCCCCGGTCGAGCCAACCCATTCATGCTACAACAATACTACTAATATAGCTGCAGCATGGCTCTACCACGTATAAATAGATATAAATTTATTATTCTATAGATAGATAGAATAATTGATTTTCAATAACTTTTTTCTCGAAAATTAT